GTTTTAGATAGAGAGAGGAGGGGTGTGGGTCCCACTGTTCAACTTCTTTTAAAGAGGGGGAATGGTCAGTACGTCATGAGAGAGGAGAGAGAGAGGCAGTTGGATAAAATTGGATTTTCTGAAGGAGAGAGAGGAGGTGAGGATTCATGTGAGAGCAATAAAATTAGGGGCTACTTGCATAGGTGCAATTACCAAAATGGACCTTGTGCATGTTAGACATGCCTTTTTGAACTATAGAAATGAATTGAGATATGTGAGTGAGTTGGCTGAAAATGAGTCGAGCTTGAGCTCGAGCCCTTAACGAGTTGAATTGAGGTTGACTCGTTTATTATTATTAATAAGCTGAATTCGAGGTTTAACAAATCGATCTCGATCCTTAACAAAATGAACTATACAAAAATGTATAAATTTTTTTTTCGAGTCTAATATCGAACCAAATCAAACTCGGCTCGTTAACCAAACGAGCTTTAAATGAGCTTGAGCTCGACTCATCATTAAGACTTCAAGCTCATCAAACTCGAGCCTTAACGAGCCAAACTCGAGCCGAACCGAGCCAGATTCGTTTAATTTAACAATGAGTTTGTTACATTTTTTTTTTAATATCAAAGCAAGTAATATTATATAAACTTAATAGACATATGGAAACGAACCACTGGAGAATCAATAACATTGAGTTCCCTCTCCACAAAGTCATTAACCCTACAAAAAGTTTTCAAACAAAAAAACTAGAATATAATACTCCACAAGAGGGACTGACTTACTCCACGAAAAAAAAAACTAATAAACTAAAATAGGATATCTCTGACTTCAGTCATCCCCGACTTCATCGGCTTCCCAGGAGCCAAAGACTGCCCGCAAACGGACACTGCCAACGATCTTAGAGCAACTCCAAGAGTTTCCTAAAAAGTTCTTCCCCAAAACAATGTATTGGGGCTCTCCCTAAAAAAAACTTCCTTCATCCCACAGCAGATTGCTAATAACTAGTCCCTAATATTTTAAAACAGGCTACGTCATTGTAATTGGGCCCATTGCACACGCACAGAAACTCCCCGTACAGAAACTCCCCCACAGCCGCCGCTAGGAGCTCGACGTCTTCGCTGGAGTTGTCGGGAGATAGGTAAAACGGATTCGGTATGAGTCGACGAAGCCTTTCCATGCAGCTGGTGATGAGTTCGTCGTCAGATGATGACGCTGATGAATTCCTCCTCTCTGTTACTCTTGTGGCCATGAATGCCGATGAGTCTGACGATGAAACAAAACATCGTGGTTCTATCCTAGGGCATCGAGTACTTGAGCGAGACAGACACGCAGGACATCATAGGTTGTACAAAGATTATTTTTCAGATGATCCTACGTACGGGCATAGTTATTTTAGACGAAGGTATGTAAACAATAGATTTATTTGGACTTTATTTTTTATAAATCCATATATATGTGTCTCATTACTTTTGAATTACAGGTTTCGAATGAGGCGTACACTGTTTGTACGCATATGGAATGCCGTAGAACGACATGATCAATATTTCGTACAGAAAAGAAATGCTGCCGGTATACTTGGGCTGTCTAGTCTGCAAAAGATCAATGCAGCATTCCGGATGATAACTTATGGAATAGCAGCTGATGCTACAGATGATTATGTGCATATTGGTGAGAGTACTGCTATTGAGAGTCTGAGAATGTTTGTCAGTTCTGTAGTGGAGGTTTTTGGAGATGAGTACTTGAGATCACCTAATGAAGATGATACAGCTAGGTTACTAGCAATTGGAGAGAGTAGAGGTTTTCCTGGTATGCTTGGCTCGATTGATTGCATGCATTGGAGGTGGAAAAATTGTCCTTCAGCATGGCAAGGTATGTACACCGGGCAAGTGCATGATCCTACAATTATACTTGAAGCTGTGGCCGATAAAGATCTTTGGATTTGGCATGCTTTCTTTGGCGGATGCCTGGTTCCCACAACGACATCAACGTTTTGCACCGGTCTTCTTTATTTGCACAGCTAGCTGAAGGTCAAGCTCCAAAGGTGAATTATAGTATTAATAACAACGAATATACAATGGGTTATTATCTCGCTGATGGCATATATCCCTCGTGGGCTACGTTTGTGAAGACCATACCTGAACCACAAGGTAATAAGAAGAAATATTTTGCAACTGCCCAAGAAGCTTGTAGGAAGGACGTTGAACGAGCGTTTGGGGTTCTACAGGCTCGTTTCGCAATCGTCAAGGGACCTGCTCGATTTTGGGATGAAGACACCCTCGGAAATATCATGCGAGCTTGTGTCATTATGCACAACATGATAGTTGAGGATGAGCGCGATGAGGAACATGATTTAATTTATGATGGAGTAGGAGAAAATGTGAAGATGTCTTATTGTGCGACACCTGAACTTGAGGAGTTTATTAAGAATTACAAAAATATAAAGGACAGAGTAATTCACAGTCAACTTCGAGATGACCTCGTTGAGTACCTGTGGCAACATCATCCCGACCTGTACAAATGACTACCTATAGTTAATATTTATTCGCTATTTTCATTCATTATGGATACATAATAATTTTTTTGTACTTGAGATAATGTTATTCATGAGAATCGTTATTTGCTTCTGCTTGATTGATTATTTTTGTTGTGGTGTGATGTGGCCATGTTTTTGTGCTTTGAGAATGAACATTTCAAAACTTCTTTCCTCGGGCCATTATTCATAAGATCATAGAACTTTTTTCTTTGAAAAGATTATATTGTAAACTTCTATAAGCAATAGTATTGTTAAGCTTCTGCCATGTGTTGGTATTGTAAACTTCTATAACCAATAGTATTGTTAAGCTTCCTCGGCCAATAGTATTGTAAACTTTGTTGAGCCATATCTTGTTGCATAGCAGAAAATGGACAGATTATATTGGACCCTAGCAAGCTAGAAGAGCAGGTAATTTTTGTTGTTACCCAGTACCTTATGTGAAAAAACATAACAATAGTTACTAGTACTCTTTAGAAGATTCAAATACAAATTAATTTCAAACATCACAGTAACATATGGGGAAAAAAACATCACAGTAGCTACTAGTACTATTTAGGAGAATAGAATTCTAATTAAATACTCGGCTCATGATCTCAGCCCGCAAGCACATGTAGTATTTCTTTTGCTCATCTGGCATGGCACTAAGGTCCATGGTCATAATCCTCTCTTCATCCCTCTTCCTCTGCAATTGGACCTCCTGACTCCTCACCTCAAGAAGTAGTTTTTCATTTGCAACTCGTTCCTGTTCAAGAGCAAATGCTTTGTTGAACCTCTGATCTTTCTTTAGCTCTTTCTCCCCATCAGTTTCTTTTAACTGTGCCCACATATTTTCTAAGGTTGCTGTCACACTTTTTTTCTTCTCTTGCAGCAATGCTGCTTTTGCCTTCTTCTTACCAATTGGCCTTGTCAATGCATTAGCATCTAAGTCTTCAACTGCATCTTGTCCTACTTCACTTGGTGAAGTTGCACTCGGATCAGCAGTAGGCCTTGACTTCTGCTTCTTGTTAGATGTTTTAGCAGCAGCAAATTCATCAAGTTTAGCAAGCCATTTCGGTTGTGTTCTCAGCTTATTCCAGCAATGCATGAACTGAAATGCTTTGTTATGTTGGTCTTCGGCCTTGTACAAAGCACATGCCTCTGCAACCTGCACACACCAACATCCAAGGGATATTCATTTATGAGATATAATAAAAATAGTCGAAACAAATCCATCTTAGACAAGTGAGTAATTACCTTGTCTTGCATTGTAGTACCACTTTGACGCCTTAACTCAATCCGTGTTAGACATCCACAAAAATTGTTCACACATTTCTGTATGGTCTCCCACCGGTGCATTAGAGAATTAATGGTACGCGTTGATTGGCACATCTTATGCTCATGGAAATAGTCACAGATACGAGACCAATACCTGCCACCTTTTTGATTTTTGCCTACGACCGGATCCAAACTTATATTCAGCCACGCTGAAACCAAAACCTCATCTTCGTGGTCACTGAAATTCTTTGATCTCTTATGGTTCGGCCTCGCAGAGGGGACTGCTGGACTAACTTGCATTGCTTGTGACTGATGGTCAGCATTCGTGTTGCTATAATTATCAAAATCCCCTAGATTGGTTTCAACCATCATGTTGGAAAATATCCATTTCCTGCAAGCATTTAACCAGTGATAAGTCTTCATCCAAAGCCTAAAGACAGAACGAACAGATATGGGCTATGGCCACATTTTTTAACAGATCAACAACACATTATCAAAGATTTGCTTTTACAGATCACTGAACAGTAGCAAGCTAACTGAAATCATTACAGAAACCAAGACTCCAAGATATGTACCATTTCACAAGCAAATTTCTTAAAAAACAAAGGTAAGATAAAATAAAAATATATATATATATATATATATATTTCCTCAAATTCTATTGCATCATAAATCAATATGCTTTTCATTTACAATACTCCCACTATCTGATCCAACGATTTTACCAGTAGTTTTTAGCAGACAGTTGATTCATTGCCCAATGATACTCAAGGAAGTAAATTCAGGCAAGCTACAATTTTATGATGCCCAGGTTTCAGAAGAACCAAGTACATCTTTTGGATTACAAGATATAACTCCAAGATTACGGAGAACAAAATAACCAGATACATTAACTTAAAGAATATCTAACTTCACCTAACACAAGTCATTATTAACAAAAATACATTTCAAGACATAATGTGTTGTTCCAGTCATATGAAAATTGCTAAACATACTCCAAAAGTGAACTACATATTAGATGCAACAGAAAGTCAAATTGAAAATATTCCCTTGAGTAGAAACCTTACCACAACTGAAAATGCTAGTGTCACTTTTTTCAATTAGAACGTGCTACATCCTTGCTCAAGTTTACTAATAAAAATGCTTTGCCATACATTGAAGTGGAACCATTACCATTGCATTTACATATCAATGAGGAACCATTACCACAGCTTTTAAAGTTGATGGTCACCTCAACTACAAATACTCCAAGATTATTGCATGGAATTTCAATAGTCTCAACAAATCAAAGCACTTCAAAGCATTAATTACATCACCCTCAGCTTTGTAGGATAAATTGTTTCTCAATGGCTCAAAAAACTAATCCAATACAATATCAAGAAATCTTTCTTGTTTTCGGGATTCTAAGTGTTATATTGTTGGCACAACAGGGTGATGCATATGATTACAGGTTATGAGATTCATACCATTTAGAAAAGTGTTGCCGTTGGCCATGTCCTCAAAGGATGCAGAGGGGGCGTCGCTGCCAGAGTACGGCTTCGCCAGAGGATCATCATTGTCTCCGGCAAAAAGGCCTGCCATCGGAGGACATGGTGGTAGTCTACCCTGCACCTCACTTCGCATCTCAACTCTACCTGTCTGGCCGACGCCGTCGTTCAATTGGGAGTTGGGGCCGCCGGCGGCCATGACCCGGTGCATCTCTTGGCCGCCGCGCCGCTGTTGCCTTGGCCGGCTGGGATCGATTGGTGGCTGCATCTGCAACCCTTTCGCGCCGCCGCCGATGCTTGTTTTCCCCTCTGGGCCTTCCTCGAACTGATGAGCGAGGCTTGATAAATATCGCGGGAATGGATCATATAGCGCGGGAATGGAAACAGGGGGCGATTGGGGAAGGAATCGGCACCGCGCAAATATCCGCGGCAAGGAGCTCGAGATTGGGGAGGGCGAAAAAATGGGGAAGATTTACGGGATGTGTTGGAGGACAATTTTTCTGTGTTTTAACCCTAATAGCGAATTAGGGATAGTTTACGGGATGTGTTGGAGTTGCTCTTAGAAGCACAATCCAACACACTTAAAAGAAATCTTCAAGTCTAAAAACAAACTTCAACTTACAGATCCAACACTCTCAAACCTAAGAACTCAATTCATCAAATAAACGGCTAAAAAGATTTAACGAAGAATCAAAACACGAGTCCAAATATGACAATCGAGGAGAAGAGACGGTGGTAAAATCCTCGATGCCGGTCTTCAGACGGAAGAGAAGCGAGAGAGATAATGGCTTCCATCAGACACTGGAGAGGAACCCCAGGCCCCAGCCTCCTCTGAACTGATTGGACAACACTCCCACGTTCCCAATACAGTTTTGTAGAATAAGTATTGATTGTTCCATGCCTCAAGTTCCCAGCACGAATCGAACCCCCACCCTGCCGCTAGAGCGAAACTTTAGTAGATTGATCTGACCACTCGAACTAGCCCAGGGGGCTCACAAACCGATTTTTTGATTTTATCTGTTGGGATGGTGCATTATGTATTTGACGAAACGGTTTTTTAATTTCACACGTTGTAATGCGCTCCACTTCTCACGAATTGATTTTCTTTTCACAATTATTTTTTGATTTTACGCACCGTGGTGTGTTTTGGCATCTAACGAATCAAGTTTATAATTTCTCATCAATCGATATTTCTTTTCCCAAACCGGCTTTTGGTAATACATGCAACAACTCAAGTTAGTAGTGTGTACGTACACTAAATAAAGCTCACAATGCAGAAGAATTAATATGAGAATATATTTTAGATTTTACATAATTTTTTATATATGAAAAAAAAAACTTTCTAAAATAACTCTCGTCTCTCATAAATTGATTTAATGATGCAGAATATTATTATTATTATTATTATTATTAGATATTTTGAAAAATAAGTTAGAAATTAAATATTATTATAAGAAATCTTGTTTTGTTGGACAAGTTAGGAATAAGGTTTAGAAGTCTTATTTAAATGGCTCCTCATCTATTGGTTTTATTCAGTTGATTATGAATTATTGAATGAAAATATGATTTGACATCGTATTTAGGTGTTCTTGAGATTGCAATCTCATTAATATCATCTCATTTGTACGCTTCCCTACATCAGTTGGTATCAGAGCTCAACACGATTCCAGATGCCACTGCAGAAGGACGACATCAACGGGCGTGACACCACCATTGAGTATCTGGGTCGACAAGCCACGGGCTTCGTCCGCCAGATCAATCAATTGGATCATTGAGTTGAGGATCTTTCGACGGGGATCGAAGAAGTACGTCTTACGATCAACAACATGGCTGAGGATTTGCAGACGAATCATGACGCCGGCAACCGGGGCGTGTGCGGGGGAGTTCGCGGGGGCCGTGGAGGCCGTGGTCCAGGCGGGGCGCCACGCTGGAGATCTCCACAACTACCGTCCGACGGCGAAGACGGCGAGGAGACAATCTTGGAGTTGAATTCCTTCGGCGATTATCCACCCTCGCACGTCGAGGCTGACCCCTTCGCTGCATACGACGGTAGTGACATGCAGCGACGGGACCCGGTCTTTATGGATGACGATGATCAACGCGATGACAGAGACAGGCGCGAGGAGACTGCCTTTGCCAGCGGATATCGTGCCCGACGCGATTGGGGACTTGATTGCGAATATGGTCAATGGGAGGGTCCGTTTCACGTTGACATCCCCGAATTTGACAATGAGCAAGTTGACAGACCATTGTACGACGGTACTCGCCGATTTTCGATGAGGAGCCTCCGGGGTCCGATGAGTCAAATGAAGGAATCCAATTTGAAGTAAATGAAATTGAAGAGAAAGAAGGACAGAATGATGATGATATGGATATTGCTTCCGATTTCTTTGCCTATTTTGAGCTCTACTCCTTGACCATGATGCATCCATTATGGCAATATCTTCATGGAATGATAACGAGCAGAGGCAGTTTGTTTATGATCCTTATGGACTTACTTGTTCTGATTTTTTTCCTGGTCTGGGATGGATGCTCTCGAGATTCATATGGGCTGAATTGTCTCTTAATCGGGCCAAGACTTATTGGGATGACTGGTTGAGAATGAAAGAGAAATATTATATTGAGCATTTTGTTGGGTTCCTTAAGAAGTCTACCCCAGTGCATGGGGACGTTGTTGTTCTAATGACCAATAACATAGTTAGACAACATTCAACCTTCGTGTTCGATCGGGGAAAATGTTGGGTTATTCCTGTCATGGTGACGTCTACAAGGGGAACGGGTCAGATTCGAGGGCGAATCCTACTCTACCGGGGGAGAATGATGCAGAATATTATTATTATTATTATTATTATTATTATTATTATTATTATTATTATTATTATTATTATTATTATTAGGTATCTTGAAGAATAAGTTATGAATTAAATATTATTATAAGAGATCTTCTTTTGTTTGACAAGTTAGGAATACGGTTTAAGAGTCTTATTTAAAGGACTCCTCATCTATTGGCTTTATTCAGTTGATTATAAATTATTGAATGAAAATATGATTTGATCTCGTGTTTAGATATTCTTGAGATTGCGACCTCATTAATATCGTGTCACTCGTACGCTTCCCTACATCATTTCTACTACCCTTCTTACCACAATAATCTTCCT